TCCCAATCCCCGTTCCCTTCCATTCTGTTACGCCCCAACCCTAGATTGGGGTTCGTAACATGTGTTATAAACAAACCCCTGTCATCTTGGAGCCGCACTGTGGATCGTCATCCTTTCCTCGCCTGCACCATCCCCCGATCCCATAACAACTAGCTAATTAGTAACAGACACTGTTCCATTAAACATGTTCAAACTGAAGCATCAGTCTGAACAGAGCTAAGGAGCCCATGAGAATCTATTTATTATCAAAGCACAAACATCCATCGCAGATGAAGACAATCTATTGTCCAGTCATGTTTAATCAATATAGAGCAGTAGCTTTGTTCCAGCTGCATGCTGAGGATTGACATTTAAAATGCACTTTTCAATCAACCTTCTAATTCCAGCTCTGAAGAAGTCAGTCTTTACAGTAATCCTCATCCTTTAACCTCAGATGTGATTAATACAGAAGACAGACAAACTTCTATTTAAAATTTCAAGGACAATGGGATTTGCAAAAGTAAAAAGAAAATGTGAAAGTTGAAGTTTTTTTTTTCCTTGTAGCTTGTGTTTGCCTGCATGTCTTTTGACTGAGAGTCTGAGTGTTTTAAACAATGTTTAAATGTATATTTACCTTTGATCTGTAGGAAAATGTCCCTCACTGAAGAAGATTTGTTTGTCCATTGACCTGTCACTCTTCATGGAAACACAGCTGGGTACAGGTGAGCCTGCTCTCTCCATCAGGACACTGTGGACAGTGAGAGGAAAGATCCTCATTATATAAATATAATCCATATACTGTGGACAGGGTCACATTAAATCTTCAGCTGTTTAACCTTCTGCTTTGTCTTCATGCACTTTGATATGCCATGAAGCTTTTTGTCACAACGTGCGGAACGCAGACCAGAGAAGCCGGCGAATGGAAGCAGGAAGGGGGTAAAATAAAAGGATTTAATAGGAAGACAAAGGAGCCTAACGTGGCATAACAGGGCAACACACGGCACAGAACTCCACGACAATACAATGACTGAACTAGGGAAACATCTCTGACGTGGACTAAATACATCGAACTAGGACAAACAATTTAAAACAGCTGTAAAACACTGGGAATCAACATGAGGTTAATGAGGGGGGCGTGGCACAGGAGGAGCGGCACGATCGGGACCTGACACTTTTGATGCAAACATGCTTGTTTACATTTAGCTTTAATGTGAAATAAAGTGTCTCACCTAAAATGAAGATCCCAGTATGAAAGGTTTAGTTTCATTGTTACAGCCTCCATTACTAGTCTTGCCTGTTGTTGCTTGATATTATATAAATTTAGCCTTAAATGGGGTTCCCCACAGTATATTTCACTAAGTTACCAATAAAAAAGTTTGCCGACCAGCTACTGGACTGCTACTGAACACCGATAACATGTTCCGAATTGGTCCGGAGACCGAAAATATGAACTTTATTTTAGCGCATATTCAGAAAATCATCTTGCGCCCTAAAGATGTAAAAGATTCAAGAATCAGCGCTAGGTGGCAGCAGAGGACGGCGTCCGGGGAGTACAATTAGATGTCAATTCTTTAAGGAAATTCAATTTCATAAATTTCATAAAGGATAAACATAAATCATTTACCCCACGGACTTGAAACAGTTAAATCTCGAGGAAGTGAATTAAGTTTAGACTGATTTCTCGCTCTTTCGAGAATGCTGGAACGTTTATTTTTTTTATGACCGTGTGTAAAGCCATACAAACACACAGGTTCTGTCTTACCTGTCAGTTCTCTTTGTTTTACACGCCACAGGGGGGGTCATTTCAGAAACAGCTCCCTCCATTTTTGTGCCGATCTAGACCAGATGACTGATGCTGGGGCCTCTATGAACACAAAGGGTAAATAGTGACATACATTCATAATATCTACTAGCTACTTCATACAACGGGTGCGGCCGTTATATACTGTAGGTGTGTTTTTATATGTATACATACATACAAACGTACACACCCACACATATATATTTTATTGACTAAAATCTTACCTTGCAATACAGAATCTTATCCGCGTTAATTGACAAAAGGAGAGTCCAGCATTAAAATACTTTTACTTTCATTTACAAACAGGAAATGCTGCGTATCAAACGCGGAAGCGGTCTAAGCAGGAATGGACACGGACTCAGTGGCCCGGTGTAGGATTTTTGGGGATATTATCCATGCGACTTAATACCAAGTAGCAATAAGAGAAAGGGGACAAGCTCCCGCCGCCACCTAATTCTGTCATGACGCACATTTTGCGTTACACTTGTACGTATAAAACGCGGTTCTGTAGTGACACTTAAATAACACACATAAATCATAATTATCACACAATCTTACTATTCAAATTTGTCACCGCCCTATTTCTTCAGTGTTTTGCCTGATATTAGATTTTTATATATGGTGTAGGTTTGTGCAACATGGGAAAGGTATCATCACAGTTTTTTTTTCCATGCAGGATCATGAAAAAAAAAAAAATCTTATCATGATTCTTTTTATGTCAATTATTAAGACTTTTGCAAGTTACTGAACAGTACAACCAAACAAATTCCCCAATAAAAAAATTGGCCATCTAAGGTAACAAAA